TTAAGTGGCACGTTGCTTGCCCTGCTGAAAACCTTTAACACTCTACGTAATATGATATAGTCCTTCTTCAGTAGCCCGGGAAAAACTAAGGGGGAACAATAGAGAATAATAGGCAGGATGCAAGAGTTAACGAATTGTAGGAGTAAGGGTTGGGTTATTCCAGAATGTCTTAACTTCTTGATGTAGAAGGTAAGACGGAATATTTTCTTAGAAATCGCCAAGATATGAGACGACCAGGAGAGATCAGCAGATAGAATGACGCCTAGGTATTTAATTTCCGATTTGGTTTCTATTTCAGTGCCATCTATGTTGCACACCTCGTGAGAGCCAACGAATTTGTTTAGGTCGGATTTATGCCTAAAGGTGAAATTGACTGTTTGGCATTTGGAGGGGTTTAGGGTAAGACCGTTTTCCTTGGACCAGTGGCTGATTTCTGACAGAAAGCCATTAAGTTTAGAGCAGTCACTTTGACATTTGACAGGCAAAGAAACAGTCAGGTCGTCAGCATATTTGACAAAATTGATGTCATTCGAAGATGGTAAGTCATGTAGAAAGAAAGAAAAGAGAAGTGGGGAGAGTACAGCACCTTGGGGGATACCGGTTTCAGTGAGTACAGCAGAGGAGGATTTACGTTTGGATACAGTGTACTGCACTCTGTTTGAGAAATAGGAATGCAACTAGTTAGTGACCCAGGACTCAGTTTTTGTCAAAGAGAGCTTATTTAGCTTATTTATTTGTTAGCCGACATAGGAATAGGTTGGAATAGTGTTGTTGTTGGTCATACCAAAACTTCGGATCACTACCTGAAGCCATTTGACTGTTGGTTTGAGGCAGTCAAGTGGAGAGGTGTAGACTGCCTGGTTTGAGTCATCGGGATGATAAGAAGCAATGACTAGAGACTATCTATCGGTGATATGGCTCAAAGTCGTTATGAATGGTGCAGCTGCATTCACTCCATGTAATTTCCCATATTTGTTGAACACACACATATTTTTCCACGATACTATTCTTTCTCTCGTTCATTTCTGCTGTTTATAGACCCTTCATTATTATTATTGTTTCCTTTAATTCCTAGAGGAACATAGGGCTTCAGCCGTGCGTCTCCATTGCGTTCGGTTCTCTGCTAGAGTCTTCACCTGGCTCCAAGTCTGCCCACACGTTTTCATCTCCTCTTCACATGACCTCCTCCAAGTCACCCTTGCACTGACGACCAACTCGCCGCTTCCCTTTCGGGTTCCACTCGAGCAATGGCTTGTCTAGTGATGTCACTTGATGGTTTCCTCAGAGTATGGCCAATCCATCTCCATTTCTTCCTGCCTATTTGTTTCACAATCGGTTCCTGCTGGGTTGGTTCGCTCATTGCCAGAGACCTCTGTTGCTGATCTTTTCTGGCCGGCCATCTGATCTTGAGTATTGAGCAAAGACAGCTGTTAATGAAGGTCTGTAGTTTGTTTGAGATGCTCTTTATGACGCGCAGTGCAAGTCTCTGATCCGTATAGTAGCACTGACTTCACATTGGAGTTGAAAATCCGGATCTTATTTTTGATGCTGAGTGCTGTTGACCTCCACACAGACTTGAGAGTAGTGAAAGCTTGTCTTGCTTTTCCGATTCTTGCTTTGATATCCTCGTCAGTTCCGCCTGTAGTTGAAACGATGCTTCCCAGGTCGGTAGATGAAGGAGGTTGTTTCTTTCAGGTTCCTTCCATTTATGCTGATTGTTGTCTGTTGTTGTTGTTGCTGTTGGTGGTGTTGCCCAGGAATCTTCATCACCTCTGTTTTCTCTATGTTCACCTGAAGTCCTATCTTTGATGCTTCTTCTGCCAACTTGTTGCTTTTCGCTTGCATATCTTCCAGTTTGTGGGAAATCAGACATATATCATCGGCGAAGTCCAGATCCTCCAAGTTTTTTGTGTGTGTCCATTTTATGCCTGTTTCCTCATTGCCCACTGTTTGTCGCATTATCCAGTCTACTGCAATCAAGAAAATCATTGGCGATAGTAGGCAGCCAACTTGTCTTACTCCTGTCCTCACTTCGAAGGATTCCGTGAGTTTCCCATTGTGGATTACTTGGCATGCAGCATTGTCGTACAGCTGTTGGATGAGATGTATAATTGTCGGTGGCACCCCTTAGTAGCGAAGTAGTTTCCAAATCACCTCTCGATCGACGCTGTCAAAGGCCTTTTCAAAGTCGATGAAGTTGAGATAGAGAGGTGACTGCCACTCCAAGCTTTGTTCAATGATGATCCGTAGTGTGGCGATCTGATCAATGCATGACTTGTTTCTCCTGAATCCAGCCTGTTCCGGTCAAAGTTTTTCATCTAGGGCATGTTTGATTCTCTCCAGGATGATGCGGCTTAGTATTTTGCTTGGGATGGACAGGAGCGTAATTCCGCGCCAGTTCTTGCATTGACTTAGGTCTCCTTTCTTTGGTAGTTTGAATGAGTATCCTTTCTTCCAATCCTCGGGTACTTTGCCTTCTTTCCACACCTTCTCCAGTAGTGGCATCATCGAGTCCGCTGTTGTCTCTGGGTCCATTTTCAATGCTCCTGCTGGGATTTCATCTGGTCCTGCTGCTTTTCCAGCTTTTTGCATCTTGATTGCATTCAGGACTTCTGATTTCGTCGGGGGGGGTGGTGTTCACTGGTAGCTCTGTCTCCGTCGTTGGTATTGTTGGGCGCGTTGTAGGGGGTGGTCGATTTAGGAGTCTTTTGAAGTGTTCGGCCCAGTGTTTCCTTTTGATAGACCCTTTGAATCCGCTTAATTCTTTCTTTTCTCTACCTTCTGTGTGGTATATAGAGTGTGGCAGTTTGAGGCACTACACTTATGTGATTGTTGAAATTCAGTTGATCGAACAGGTTTTGTCGTTGATAATAATAAGTAAACTTTAGTCATCTGTTTCATTATGGCTTATTAATTACTCTTAAATAGGACATCATCGAAAAGTCTCCTTGTAGTTTTCTGAGCCTGAGCTTTGTTTGTGCTTGATTTTAGGAACTGAATTAGTCAAATAATCGATGGTTAACGGTGTTTAGGTCCATACGGAATAGTGGGGGATTGGTTTTGGTGTTTAACAGAAAATTTCAGCTGATGAAGGCAAGAGTAAGGTCCAATGCTTTCAGCTTTATGATGTCTTTATGAAAATGTGAACTGATTAGGAGGGAACAGTACATAAAGTGTCACGGAGCATGAGAACAAGTATGTTTGGTGAAAACAGAAATCAGATGTTTTTTTTCTCACGAATCGAATAATACTACTTTAAGTAACATAATTGTTATCAGAAAAAAAGTGGAAAAGAGAAAGAAATGCTGATGGGATAAAAGTCAAAACAATGAGGGCTAATGTCATTAGGTTGGCTAAGTGACTGACTGACGGAGTCTCAAGATAGAACTTTGCAGAGAAGTACAGCAGTCTAAAAGAACTCTAATAAGCAGAAATGTACGGAAGAAAGAATAATAACATGGAAAGACATGTGTATTTAATGGATCTAGAAGATTGCAAAGAGTGAACGCATCTTCATGACTGAAAACCATTTTGATCCGTATCACCGATAGTTTCAAGCCATTGGTCCTTAGAGTCTCGAACACCCTTTCCAGGATGTCTATACCTAACACGTAGATCTGAATTACCTCAGAGCTTAAGGGACAACTGTTTGAGGCCGGCTTTTTCGAAGAGGCTTTTTGGACCGTATGCATATTGAAATCTCACCTTCGGCTACAGCCAGGTTCAACGTAATTTGAAATGTAGAGTTTTCGGGGTTGATTTCTTGTAGTCCCCTCTTTTTAAAGAGAAGAGACAGCAAAGCTGGTTTCCTGATCATCCGATGAAAACACTTTACTTTCTCAATCAGATACACTCAACATAGTTATACAGCTTACTCTGTGACGATTAATAATTTTGGTCTAACTGGTATCTAAATGAACTTTTGACACTGTAAGATAGGAAGTAATATTCGTTTCAACTAGTTTACCTGTTTGGATCGTTGTGGTATGCAATCTCAACCATCATATCAGGGTAACAGCTATCGGTTTGGACCATTAAATTTAAAGTTTTTGTCCTGAAAAGAAGTTGAACAGTGAGACTAAATGTTCAGATAAAGTCCAATGTCGGAAAAGTCAAGAAAACACTCTTTTTTAGACTGCCCTTCAAGTGAATATGTCAAGACAGACAGACTGAAACATTAAGTTTGTTGAAAGAAGAAAATCTTACTGTGTGTGCATTCATACAATTACAGAGATACTTATATTGACAAAAGAAGATGGTAAACTTGACTAACATTTATTATTTGTTTTAGCTTTAATTTGGATATCTTCTTGATTGGCTGTATTGGACCAAAATGCTTGAGAAATACAAATTAACCAATAAACAAGCAACAACTGATATCTGTCGTGCAAAGGGTGGTTATCATCGCGCAGTGGCCTATTGGATAACACTTTGGCATTTGAAATAATAAGCGCTAGTTTAAAGTCTCAGTATTATTGTTATTTCCTTGGATTCCAAGTAGAACATATTCCTTCAGTCCCCTCTTTAGCTGGCCCCACGATTGGCTCCTTGTCACACACTCTTCTCCATGTCACCTTTGGACACGCACACAATTCGTCGTTTCCTATTCAGGTTCCAGTGGAGGGTGAGTAGTGTTACTGAACGGTCTCCTCAACGTGGATCCAATACATCTTTATTTCCTTCGGCATATTTTTTGAGCAATGGGTTTTGGTTGGTTTGTTCCACTGCTGAGTTTCTTGTTGCTAATTCTTTCTGCGGATTTTGATTGTCATTATGGAGTGAAGGCAACTGTTGATGAGTCTACAACCTGCTGGAAACGCTGCTCATGACTTTTCAAGTTTCCGATCGGTATAGAAGGACTCACTGACTAAACATGGGTGTCGAAAATCCAAACTTCGCTCTTTGTGATGAGTGTAGAGAATATCCATACTGATTTCAGACTGATGAAAGTGTGCCTCGCCTTTCTGATCCTGGCTTTGACATCTTCATCCATTCTCCCTGTAGTTAAAACGAGGCCTCCTACATAAATGAAGGAGACGACCTCTTTCAACTTTCTTTTATTGATAGTGATTAGTACTTGTTGTTATTGGCTGGTTGGTTGTCACCACGTCCGTCTTCTCTATGTTCACTTGAAATCATGTTTTCACTGCTTCTTCTGACAACATGTAAGGCTTTACCTGTAAGTCTTCGAGTTTGTGTGACGTTAGACATAAATCATCTGAGAAATCCAGGTATTCTAGGGTTTTCTTATAGGCCCAACATTTTCCTATCTCCTTGCTTCCCATAGTCTTCCTCATGATCCAGTCCACTACAGTTAAGAGTATCATCGATGATAGTAAACAGCCTCGTCATGCTCCTGTATTCACTTGAAACGCCTCGCCGAGTTTTTAGTTGTGGATCCTCTGACATATGCCATAGTCATATAGCTGTTGAATGAAGTTGATAAAGATTGGGGAGCACTGCATGCCACAGTGTTTTGAAGTGGTCTCCAAATTACTTCTCGGTCAGTCCTGTCTGTTGAAGGCTTTTACAAAGTTTCAGTGGTGGCACCATAACTCACTGAGAAAATATGTACATCAAAGCAAAACTAAATCACACGTCGAGCAGAATTCACAATATTAATGTTAGAAAAGTTTCTACTAACGATGAAGATTTTATGTGCATCTGACATGACTAACAGTCCTACCTTAACAATATTAAAGAATAAATTAAGCAGGTAATCTTCTTCTGTGAGGGGCAGTGAGAAATACTTTTATTATTTTGGCGGGGGTGGGTGGGTGAAATCCTCCATTCATATCGACGGTTGTGATATATCTACACAAAGACTACGAAGCGAAATGATAAACACAATGTAGAAAATTTGTTGATTTAAAACACAAAACATTGTACAATATGACATCAAAAAGATGCGCCACACAAATATAATATAAACAACATATGAAAAAAGAAAAAAATAGGTAGAGGAATAATAAACGACATTACCCGGAAGGAGAGCGGCCATATATTTAACAAGACCGCGCACAATTCGTCAAATTATTTTCAGAGAGAGAAGATAAAAGGGAATTGCAGCACGTTCGCCATTGATTGCGACTCTTAGCCATACCCGACAACGTTTCCAGCCACCGATTCGAGTTACCTCTCGGACCCCATCCAGAGGGTCTTTACGCACTAGCTGATGCTAACCTACCACAAATATCCTTCATCCCACAACTCGACATCATGGGCTGATCACCTTTCCGCTATTTCCATCCCGTCTCTGGGCTATCGAACAGAGCCCTTTACGGAAGCCACCAAAGCCGGCGTTTCCACCAAATGATGTTACTCAATGAATCGTGATCTTCACTGTGTCCAAACATACGCTGATGGAATTCAGAATTACTCACACGATGATGCCATCGAACGCATGCAACTTTTCGGAGACGGCGACAAGCGAATACGCAGAGTCGTCGCGCGTCGCAACGGCGTCAGAGGTGGCTCGAATTAACATATGCCACCCTAGCTTTCATGATACGGTTGGAAATCTCGTCCCTCATTCTTCTGCCAGCTCTTACACAACCATCCAGGTACACGAACTTATTGACATCTTCAAGCAGTTCAGCTGCTAGAGTAAGTGCAGGTACAGGCTTCTGCCAATCTTGTAAGAGTACTTTGCCCTTGGACGGCGCAAAGCACATACCGTACTTACAGGCACTGATCGCCAACTGATTAAGTGCAATTTAGGCAGCCTGCATGCTGTTACACAGTAAAACGATATCGTCTGCATACTCGAGGTTGAAAAGTACTTCTGTGGGTGGAAAAAGGGGGTCCAGTGGCTCTAGGTGTTATATGAAGTCCAAGTGCATGGGAGTCTTTTTATCATTACTTGCGTTCCAAACGGAATGTATAGTTTCAAGCTTGAGCTTTGCAGTTTCAGTGCCGATGGTGTTGTTTTAATACGGAGTAGAGTTGCTAGCCTCATGACCAACCTTCCTTCTTCTACAGACTTACTGCCTGCTAGGTAAGGTTTGGTGTGCATCGACTGGGCATCAAATTTAAAAGACCGGTGCGACTAAATGTATGCTATTGTATTCATCTAAATTATTCATCTTTATTACAGACGGAATCGACAGTTCTGTCACAATCCACTGACCATCAGTCAGTGAATAAGAAACGTTGCGTTGTTATTACAGCACGTGTACATCCTGGTGAAACACAAGGAAGTTGGATGATGAAAGGTTTAATTGAATTTCTTATAAGCGAAGATCCAGATGCAAAGGTATGTGATCCTGTGTACGATTTTTAATATATTTCATTTATTATTTAGTGACTTTATGAAACCATAGTTTTTATTTTAGGGATGCACAGAAAGGCGACTGTTTTTACATTTCACGTTTCAGGAATCAACTTGTTAATACAAATGTAGCTGGTTAGCTAGGACTAATCTCTTGGAGTGGAAACACCGGAGAAATAAAGAGTCTCTTGAACCACCTGAGGAGACGACAATATATGATGATCTCAAGTGAAGTGGTCGATTACGTTGACCGCTTCACTTATTCAACCATCCACTTAATGTCCAGTGACCAGGCTACAGATATGGCTATAGGAAACGTCATGTGCGATACCTTTAGAACCAGAGAAGTAGATTGTTACTCATCAGAACGGTCGCATGTTGTTCTGAAATACTTTTCAGGTGTGAGTTATGCCCACAGAAAATAAAACGTATACAAATAGACTGCAGACTTTCAATTAATCATTAACTCACTAGCGTATAATAATGAGTTTAGGTGTTGAGTATAAAGTGAGAAAGATAATTCAGTAGATAAAGTTATGAAGCTTCACTGATGATTGTTGTCTGTCGTTGTTGTTGCTCTTGCTGCTGACCAGGAATCTTCATCACCTACCTCTTTCTTCACTATGTTTACCCGATATCCTATCTTCCCTGGATGCTTCTTCTGCCAACTTATTGCTTTTCATCGGCGAAGTCCAGATGTGATGACACTTTAATTTATTTCGTCTTACATTTTGCACCTTTTTTAAAATTCCCTTACAGATATTACGATCTAATTTTGTGTTCAAATTAGTGCCAATGTTAAATCCTGATGGAGTAATTGTTGGCAATTATCGTTGCTCTTTATCCGGTTGTGATTTAAATCGAAAGTATACATCGAATTTGAAGAAATTCTTTCCAACTATTTGGCACACTAAACATATGATTATTGAGTGAGTGTTATTCATCTGCATGTATATACATAATTCACTTTTGAATAAAACAGGGACAACGGTTGGTTTTAAAAATTACTTTTATTTATTTAGTATATGTGGTTCTTTTTTTCCATTCCATGAGTTTTGGAATGGGGCATAGAACTTCATTCCTAGAAGTCTGAGTAATGTTGATGCTTATTTTATGGAGTGAGATTACTGGCTTCACGCCCAGCATTCCCTCTCGTTTAGGCTTGCTATTGCCTAGGTAAGGTGTAGGAGTGCGTCGGCTGAGAATTGAACGCGGATCATATGATTGGATGTTGAGCACTGTATGATTAAACCACTGGTGTATTCCGTATCTTTACGGAGATATATCTTAATGTACTGGCAAAGGTGACATAATTTCATTCAACAAGAGACTCCAAAGTTAATAAATAGTGCTCAGAATTTACACTTATATAACTTGCACATGGTAGATGCAAGTTTGAACAAAAACGGCATTTCGATATATTGACAAAATAGTTGAGTAATAAAGAGAAGAGGCAAATAAGTTAATGATGCGTAATCAGTCAGTGAGTTCAACTGAGATTATATAAACGGAAACACAAAACACATCTATAATAACTTCAAAGTGAAGTGGATAAAACAGGAGATTATGTAATCAGATAGAAGGATGAGTTTTTACGAGTTGATCACGGGTTGATGTCAGGTAGAGAACCATTGAAAACCAGGGAGTACTGCCAGACAGCTCTTACATCCTAGTTTGGGAATCATCATCAGTACGCACCCACCACCACGGTTCGAACCCAGGACCTTCCGGTTACAAGACAAGTTGGCTCGTATACCTAACAGCCACTGGGACCCGCCCGATTCAATGGCCAGTCCATGAATTCTAACTTCTACCAATTCGTGATTTAGTGCAAAATCAATTTTTACAAACCAACTACAGAAAATTAATCTGATGCTCGCTAGTGACTTGCTACAGGATGGAGTTTCTTGGAATTCTAGTGAGACGTCGTGATCAGTGAGGTCCATCTAGTCAAGTGTGAGGATGGATGTCCCACTGACGACATTGGTTGGGGTCGCGCTAAATCACGAATTGGTAGAAGTTAGAATTCGTGGGCTGGCCGTTGAATCGGGTCCCAGTGTCTGAATGGTATAAGAGTAAGCTTGCCTTGTAACCGGAAGGTTCTTGGTTCGAATTTTGGTGGTGGGTGCGTACTGATGATGATTCCCAAACTAGAGTGAAGTAGCTGTCCAGTCCTCGATGGTTTTCAATAGTTCTCTAACTGATATTAATCCGTGATCAACTTGTAAAAACATAAATAACCCTTACAAACCAAACTATAGAAAAGGATGAGTTAACAGATGAAGTCACTATGGTAAGGGCAGCCTGGCTACTGCTTCTTTCTGAACACAGAAAGTTGTAAAATCATGTTGACATATGTTATCGTATCTACGTGGAAGCGTTCTCTAGCCAGAGTCAATATACCTTACTCTACAAGAGCAGGTCAACTGTTAGATGCACATGAATGTCGCCAGATGAGGAAGCTAATATTTTACACAGACAGAGAATGAATTCCGACTGATGAAGTTCATCTTAAGTTTTTCAGCAAAAAATCGTCTTACTGACTGATTCAGATAGATTCACATCCATTCTGAAGCTTTAATTGTTGCGTATTTTGATGTTTTCGCTCAGATTGCCCGATTTTCTCTAAATATAATTCCTCCATTTAATTAGAATTCAATTGGTGGATGGTGACTAGCAGTGGAATCCAGGATAACACTCATTTCGTCCCATTTGGGACTCGTCATCTGGATGTACCTGCATTTCTCAGTGAGTGGTGATTTTCCCACCGGGGCTTGAACCCAGTGTCCATAGTTTCAAACGCTAAAGCGTTATCCACTAGACCGCATAGGCCACGAGAGCCACCTCTTACTGGGAAGTGCAGGTACACCCAGATGACGAGTCCCATATGGGACGAAATGCGCATCCTGGATTCCACTGCTAGTCTTCATCCACTAATTAAATTCTTATTAAATGCCCAGATATCGTCGAAGCATCTGCACAAGAAGCCGACAGACATGTCAACCTGAGACCGAGCACTTCAGTACAATCAATCGATGGGAAAATCTGAAATTCAGTTAAAATAATTCCTCCAGTTTATATATTTACATTGCATATATTTTGTTTTCTCTCTTCATAGTATCATGAAACAATATGAAGTAGTCGTTTACTGTGATCTCCATGGACACAGTCGACAACAACAAATGTTTATTTATGGATGTAAAGGTGAAACACCTGAACAACGTTATTGTTCACGCATTTTTCCGGCTATGTTGGGCAAAAATATACCTGAATTAGTAAGTGAAAGCAAGCAGTTTAGATTTATAAAGAAAGTGATCAGTTCAGGCGGACTGAATAATTAATATTGTTTCTCTATGTTAGACATTGAATATTTAATCTTTATGATTTCGGTGGATTGTATGATACCACATACTATTGATTGATTGATTTCTTTGAGTAGTTGAATAACACTCACATCAACCAGTGTTGCATGTTAACCAACCAGATTTCAGTAATCTCTGAACACTGGATGTCCGTTTCGATAGTCTAGAGCTGAGTGCATCAGTGGTGTACCCGATTTCACTTAGTTCAGATGTCAGAATCTGTTGAAACCCTTGCGTGGATTGCTAAATTTGCAAATTGAAATTTAACACATTTTAGGGCGAAATTTCACCTTATTTTTCATTATTTAGATTACAGATCCATGATACCTTAGGTGATAATGAAGCATAAATTATTATTATTCCCTCGGGTTCGTAGTGGAACGTAGGGCTTCAATAACACATCTCCTTGTTTGTTCTACTTTCTGCTGTCCTCTCCAGCTGGGGTCACGATTGCCCACAGTTTGTCATCTCCTACTCCCAACACACGATTTCTTCCATGTCACCCTCTCACTGACGACCCTCTCGTCGTGTCCCATCGAGATTCCACTAGATTTCTGACCTGCGTTGGGCGCGATGTCATTCGACGGCCTCCTCAATATCCATTTTCTGCCACATATTTGTTAAGCAATCGGTTCTTGGTTGGTTTGCTGCCAGCCAGACTTTCTTGTTCCTAATTCTTTCTCACCGTTCGGCTGGCCATTTGACCTTCAATATGAATCCAGCGAAGAGGGCAGCTGTTGATAAAAGTTTGCAGCAACCTGTTGGAAATGATTTCCGTGACTCACACGCAGTGAAAGTTCCAGACCCGTATAGAAGCAATAACTGACTGACTTCACATTCGTGTTGAAAATCCCAATCTTGTTCTTTATGTTGAGTGAGTGAAGCAGAAGATTTCAAAGGCGTGTCTTGACAAAGATTGACAAAGGCGTATCTTTCCATTGAGATTCTGGCTTGCTTCGACTTCTTCATCCGTTTTGACTGCCTGTTGTTTAAACGATGCTGGCTGCCTAGATAAGTGAAGGAAGTAACCTCAGTTAAATCTCTCCCGTCGATGGTGATTGGTGCTGGTTGTTGTCACTTTTGCTGTTTATTGGTTATCTTCATCACCTCCGTCCTCTCTATGTTCACCTGGATTCCTGTCTTCGCTGCTGACCTGTTCTGCCATTTTGTTGGTATTTGCCTGTAAGTCTTCGAGTTTGTGTAACATTAAACATTAATCATCCGTATGCGAGATCCAGATCTTCTAGATTCTTCTTATTGGTTCAAAATATTCCTGTCTCCTCACTCTCTGTGGACAGTCTGACGCATAATCCAGTCCACCACGATTAGTAATAGGCAGGGAGTCTTGTTTTACTCATGTATTCACTTCGAATGCCTTGCTGAGTTTCCCATTGTGGATTTATTGACATGTGGCATTGTCATATAGTCAGTTGTCGAATGAAGTTGATGAAGACTTTGGCACTTCAAGCCGTAATGTCGAAGTAGTTTCCAAATTACTTCCCGGTCAATGCCGTCTGTCAAAAGCCTTTTTGAAATCGGTGACATCGATGTAGAGGTTTGACTACCATTCTATGCTTTGTTCGATGCACAAATGCGTGTATGGTGTATACTGCTGGTTGTTTGAGATGCGTAATTTGGTGTTCCGCTCCAAATCAAACTCCTGGGTTTTGAAATAGTTAGTTTATTTAAACAGTCTACTAACCACAATGAGATTATTACGTAATATGGTCTGTAGGATACTTAGAACAGCAATTAGGGCCATTAAAATGTTCTAGGACTGATTTCTTTGTTAATTTGTACAATCATTTTGCGGTGGAGGCATATCAGTAGTATCTGGAAACAGAGAGACTATTTTTCTAAATTGCTGCTATCCGACATCAGTGTTATTTTGGATTCTTAGAATCCTGTCTTTTCTTTCAACCATATTGCCTTATGTCTTTTGACCAATGACATCTTGATAGGAGGAATAGAATTACAGCATACCTTAATAACATCGTCTGTATTGTTTAGAATTCCAGGATACTGTGAAAATATTGAATATTACTTTTCAGACTGTCAGAGTAGTAAGTTCAATATTCATTCGGCAAATATTTGACAATGTAAACATCAATGAAGCCTTTGAAGTGTAGATAGGAGTCAGACAAGGCTGACTACTATCATCGATGTGGTAGGCGGGATCATGTGACAGAATGCGTTCTTGTTCTTGGCTGATTTATGTTCAATGTCACACAAACTCGAAGGTCAACAGGCGAAAAATTAACAAGTTGGCAGAAGAGGTAGTGAATATGGGATGTCAGGTAAATATACAGAAAACAGGAATGATCAAGGTATTTAGCCAACAACAACAAGCACCAGTCACTATTAAAGGGAAAATTCTGAAAGAGAGAGAGTCACATGTCTCACTTATCTAGACAGAACTGTTTCAGCTATGGACGGCACAGATTAGGGTGTTAAAATCAATGGGAAAAGCGAGTTAGACCTTCATTATTCTGCAATCAATGTGGAACCCTGCTGCACTCGGCGTAAGGAAAAAAACATCCTTATTTTCAACACCAATGTCAATTCAAATTTTGTATATGGTTCAGAGGCTTGGAACGTCATGGAAACATTTCAGACAGACTGCACACTTTTATGTTAACACCTGCCTTCTCTCCATATTATCAACGCGTGACCCTGTCAACGAAGCAATCAAGAATCTAATGCCCAACAAATATACAGGGAGAAACGGAAATAGAGTGAACATAAACTGGGGAGATCCATGGATGACATCACACTCCAGGCCCTCATGTTGACCCGGAATACGGAATAATAAGTTGGGTGTGGGTACTAGTGTGTTGATATAGGAGATAATGTGAGGAAGAGATGAAGGCTTTTAGACGGTTGTAGAGACAACTATGGAGTACTACAGAGAATGGAGTGAAGTGGAGATTTGCTGCTTAACCTGTCTGTTCCACTCGGAGGTCAAGGAAATAATAGTGATAATATTATTGATAATTAAATAAAGCTAAAATAGTCAATAGCAGGGTATTCAATAATCAGTAATGATCATGACTAAAAGTCATGAAAACCGAAATGTAGTAGTGAAAAGAAATTTATGATATATGTATCAGCTAATAACAAAGGAATATGTAGACTTTGGTTAGACACTAGTAACTAGTGTAACGTGTCTAGTCCGTTGTTTGGTGCAGACTGAATTCTATCAGTCAGGTTTGCAATGTGGCCACCATGCCACTAGGTAGCTCGCCATCATGGTGCAAACTGATTTGATGATAATAGATGGTTGGAAGCAATCGACAGGAAGCCCTGCTCCACCTAGGTTTCAGGATAGTTGGCGCTCACCAATCAGTCAGCAAGGCGTATCTGCAACCTTGAAGGAACTGATGTCCCTTCTGAGATTCGAATCCACGTCACTGAGTGTTGCAGCCAGAGACGTTACTACTGAGCCAGCTATTCGGGCTGGCGACCGAAATCCTGTAGACTTCAAATTTATATAGTTGTACAGTTTATTTGTTGAACTAAGCGTTTAAAATAATTGATATTAAGCATCATACTCCTGTTTATAAGCTGGAAAAATAAATGATAGGAATTTTAACGTGACAGCGCCATTCAAAATAATGAGGCATTATAGATACTTTTTTACAACATCCTGTTATTGTATATGGTGAACGCTTTCTTGAATTGATTTCAGCCCTAAAATTTATTGGCATAGAATTTACTGGAACTCTTAATTCCCTGTTGGTTGATTTCACTCAATCATAATGTTCGATCTCTATTGGCATATCCGTTTTTAGCATAGACACTTCCGTAGTGCCTCAAGGTTAACTTGATGTTATTTCATTGATTACAATTAACGATGGAGTCAGATAAGCCGGTTTCTTTTGACTTGTGACTTGTCTGCTGGATTCACTGAGACTTGGATGCCGTTTCAATCGTTTTTAACAGCGTATTGTGACGCTTTATTCTGCCAATAATCTGAATCTCCAAGACTGAAATGTACGTTTGACGCTGAGTTTGAGTGCCAGCTACTGTGCGTCGGTGGCACAGTGGTTAGGACTCTCGCCGACCATGCACATGGTCTGGGGTTCGATCCCCTGCCGGCGCACACCCGATATCTATGGTCGGCCTGAATTTGGACTACCGATATCCATGCTGAAAATTCCATACTTGTACTGAAAATACGGTGTGGAATCAAGCTGTAAATCAAAATAAAATAATACTGTCAATGATATTCATAGCAACTACATTCTGATGATGAGAGCTAAGGTGGACTAAATAAGCTACTGGAATTCCAGTGATATCCACCGTCTGTCAAACAGTATTAATACAGCATTTTGAAAAAAAAGGTGAATAATCAAGGAAACCTAATTTAGCCTTCTATTTCTTTTCTAGAGCTGTCTTATGCACCTGGAAATATATGTATTATAAACATATCAGAATATAAATTCGAATTAGCAATTCTTCAGAAGATTTAACAGGATTGCATAGCCTTATTGGTTATCATATGGTGAGTACTGAGCGTGGTTCAGGGTTCGATTTCCAGCCAACTCACTCCATTATCTCGCTAAGCCAGTAATCCGACTGGTAAAGAGGGAAGGTTGGGCAGGAGGCAAACAACCCCATCTCGTAAAAATAAACACCACTCCTACCGAGAATTCAAACCACTAGCTTGAAGCCCTATATTCCACTGGGAACGTTAAGGAATAAGAATTTTTCGGTTTAAATCATGCTATTGGAGATAACATCGATAATGAGGGAAAATTTATGATCTTTAGGTTATAAGAGTTTTTGGGGATTTGGATTAATTCCAGTTGCTAGATTTCGTCGCGAACTAAAATTAATTAGGGACCATTGAAAATCAATTAACATTGGATGCATATTTTGAGGCTATGGTGAGGAATCGTGACCGATGGGGTCTACCATGTCAAGGTAAGGTAGATTCTCACAGAAGATATTGATTGAGGGTGTGGCTATATCGCGAAGTGACAAAGTTAGAAACCAAGGGTCACTGGATTCTGGTCAAGTAGCTGGTAGCCTAAAGATCTCATGTTCAGTCCCTAGTGGGCTCGTAGGTGCCAACTGAAGACGAATCCCAAAACAAGGCGAAACAGCTGTGCAGTGCTCCCTGGTTTTCAGTGATCTCTAATTGATGTTGACTGGGAAGAAATCTAAGGATTGTAAGGTATGCCCACCTGATGATTCCAAACAGAGCGGGACATACATTCTGAGTTCCACTGGCAAATATGTAATGATAATAATATTCAAAGGAGAACATTCGTTTTACATAAAATTATTAAGAGCCGATTCTCTGTTTTCTTCCATTAAATGTATCTCTAGTTTAACTTTGACAAGTGTAAATTCTCTGTTCAAAAAGAAAAAGAAGGGACTGGACGAATTGTGATGTGGAGAGAGGGGATTATGAATAGTTACACTTTGGAGGTAAGTCATCCCTGAGTATTTTATTCAGAAATTAGAATCATGTTAATAACTGTCTAGGGTTTTTATAACATTGACGCAAATTGCTGTCTACAAGTTCGGCCTGCAGACACCGCAAGATTGACCATAACATAAAACTTAAAACTAAACATTTTAATTATATTCATTTGAAGTAATTTCATACAGGGATTAACATTTATAATAACTTATATGATTCTTAGGCTATCAGCTACTGAGGCTTTTTCAATTCCTTTGGGTTCCAAATGGAACACAGGGCTTCAACATAACGCCTTTCCTTTGTCCTGTTCTCTGCGTTTCTCTTCAACTGGCCCCCATACGATTGCTCATAGTCTCTCATCTCCTCAGCGAACATTCATTCCCTGTCACTCTCAGACTACCCAATCGTCGTTTCCCAAACGGGTTCTACTCTAGTAGAGGCCTGGTGCATGATATCATTCGACGGTCTCCTCAGCGTGAATTCAATCCCACAGTACCTTTAGGAGGAAGTTGTATACACTGGTGTATTTTTGATCTTCATTAGAACCATTCCTGCCATTGGTTGACGTGTTTATTATTTTGTTTTTGAACAAATCAAGAACTACAGTTTTAGCAGAATAAAATGGTACCATCTTTTATTTCGTTGCCTTCTCGTCATCTGCTTACAGGGCAAAGACATTATTAAATGTATCTGCAAAAACAATTTTAACATACTTGCACAGAGTTCATTTTAAACAAAAATCAATCAGTCGATCAATATGCGCATACACTAATAATATATACATATATATGTAATATTAAACACTATTCCGAACAATAATAATCATACACAATGGAAACATATCAGCATTTTGCATTCGGATGAAAGAGAGATGAAAAATATCCAGTTACCAGGGCAAATAAAGACTAATAACCGCTTCTTTCTGGACGCATAAATCAGGTTTCAGGCGCCTGCTGCAGCGATGATCAACAGAAGGCTGAGCACATCACTAGCCATAGCCTATCCTGCAGCTAAGCTCGTTCCTGTCTATCGAACAACTTGCTCTTTGGTGCAATCAAAAATCGATAGATATCCTTCTCATGTTAACTCCAACTGTATATACAAATTTACATGTATCTGCGGGAGCAGTTACATTGGAAGAACAGAAAGAAGGGCATATCTACGATTTTCTGAACATGTACCAAAAATCTTATGTCTAAAGGGAACAAATGCTTTAAACAGTGCCATTGCCAGGCATCTCCTTGACACGTGTCATGAGGTGGACGTCGCAAGATCGTTCAAAATTATCAATAGGCAAAAGAGTTCAATTCTCCTCAAGTTTGCTGAAGCCATCTTCATCAAGCGCCTGAAACCTGATTTGTGCGTTCAGAAAGAAACAGTTATCAGTCTTTCTTTGCCCTGGTAACTGGATATTTTCACCTCTCTTTCATCTGATTACGCAATGTTGACATTTTCCATTGTGTATTATAATATATATATATTATATATAATATTGGCTGATGAGAAGCCAACGAAATAAAAGATGGTACCATTTTTTCTGCTTTATTCAAATTCATTAAGGGGAATTAATGTATTTTGTTCTTTTACTTTTATTTTAAATCAAGGCAACATTTTGTGGTACAGCTGGTAATGATCTAGAAGCAGGTTATCATTTCAATTCATTCGATTTTGAAAAAATTGGATCACATTTCTGTGATACACTATTGGATTATATTGATCCTGATAATCAGAAGGTAAGCAAAATATGTATATTGTGTAGTGTTAATAAAGTAGGTGTTAAATAAATGGGAGATTATTGTTGTGTTTTGTTTGTATGGCTGTGGACAGTAAATTATGGTATAAGTCTTAGCTACTAAAAGGATATTGTATCATTCTTCGGAGAAAACAGAGGTGATGAAGACTCCTGGCCAACAGCTACAACAACAACAACAGGAGGAAACAATCAGCGTGAATGAGAGGTATCTGAAAGAAGCAATTTCCTTTATCTACCTACCTACCTACCTACCTGGGAAGCATCGTTCCAACTACAGGCGGACAAAACTGATGACGATATCAAAGCGAGGACCGCGAGAGCAAGGCAAGCTTTCATTAATCTCGAGTCTGTGTGGAGGTCAACAGCACCACTCGGCATGAAAAATAAGATCCAGATTTCCAACTTCACTGTGTAGTCAGTGCTACTTACTTTACGAGGCTTGGTGCCGCTTCACGAAGGTCACTTCGAACAAACTACAGACCTTCATCAGCAGCTGTCTTCGTTCAATACTCCGCTCAAGATCAGATGGCCGGCCAGAAAAGATCAGCAACGGGGAGGGATCTCTGGCAATGAACGAACCAACCCAGCAGGAACCGACTGTGCAACAAATATGCAGGAAGAAATTGAGGTGGATTGGTCATACTCTGAGAAAACCATCAAGTGAGTGACATCAAAGGACAGGCCATCACTCGAGTGGAATTCGAATGAGAAGCGGCGAATTTATCGTCATTGCAAGGGTGACATGTAGGACATCATGTGACGAGGAGATCAAAGTATGTGGGCAGACGTGGAGGCAGGTGAAAACGTTGGCGGAGAACCGAACCCAATGGAGACGTGCAGCTGAAGCCTTATGTTCCTTTAGGAATTAAATGAAACAATAATTATAATAATCACTGTTCGGAGTAACATATTATGTGAAACTATAGATACTGGGTTTGCGTCTCAGTAGGAACACCGACATTCTCCAGGATGTGGGTAAATTCTACTGGTGAGTACGAAATAAGAAGTGACATTACTCTTGTATTTGACTACAAGCCGTAACTGCACAACTTCGAAACTTGATTTTTACAGCCCTCCGTTCTCCTTCCCATTTTGTATATGGATAGTAAGCTTTTTCAGATGTCCGGGATAGGCATTGAGTTAGCTAACTTAATAAATAAGGCTTTAGTTATCAATCTGTCGGCACACCCAGTTAAATTAGATTTTCAAACTGTCACTTTGTCCACTCCTATTGTATGGTTGTATTTAATTGCATTCAGTGAGTGGCATAGCAGAACTGTTCTCTAGATTTCTTATCTTATTCGCGTCACCTAATCTAGATTTTGCTAGGTTTTTATGCTCAACTAGTCTGACTGCACCTGTTCCACTACTTTCACCTATGTATTTAAGCTGACAATCATTCCAGCAGGCCATTAGATAAACTAAATTGTTTAATTTTAAAGGCTCCACAGGATTGATCCTTTAACCGACAAAGCTTGTTTCTAATTGAGTTTGTGGGTTTGAATGCCAGCCACTTTTACTTCTTCCTGAATTGTTAAGAATTCCCCGTAAGGTGGTTTCCGAGGTTCCTTCTTTGTATGGAATTACTACTGATGATTTAGATTCCCTATTGTCGATGTTGACATTATCCTGAACATGTTTGACATGCATGTCGTCATTATTATTATTATTAAAACAATTAGTCCCTTTGATAAATTTGAATAACGCATTAAGAAGACAAATTTCGCGAGATGATATCATTTCGTAGTTTCTTTACAATCGCTTTACAACTAACATGGTTAACAGCAATAAAATAAAGTTTATGACAATTACTCAGTTAAATAAAAAACAAAAGTACATACTAATGACCAATCATATTTAGATAGGTCATGTTGTCCATGGTAGGCGAAGATTGAAGTCTATTGATTTTTGTACACACAGTTTAGGCTGCATGTGATTATTCCACAAAAGTGCTTCCATCACCTTCCATAACCAACCTCAAATTACAGTTTTGTGATGAAATAATTCTAAAGCAGTCATTATTATTGATTTTTTGACCTGACATTAATAATTGCTTTGCAATGGATGATAACGCTGGATTTCTATTCAGATTAATTGCATTTGGATTTTCTATGTGTCTTGATAACCATTTTGGAACATGTTCTTTTCAACCACACGACAATGGAACATTCTATTGGTTCTACCTATATAAGTGTCACCGCAACTGTAGGTGAACTTGTAGATACAGTTTGAAGTAGCGTCTACAGAATTTCGTCCATTAATCGTAGGTACAGTGATCGAAAATGTTCAGCATGTGAGGGGAGGAGATGCGGCGTAGAATGTGAGCTTGATGGCTGTCTTTGAGCTGTCAACTGCAGAAAATTTGATCACCCTTGAGTGGTAGGTTAATAAAGATAGCTTTCTTTGGTACAGAAGCTGTCTTTTCGAGATGTGGCCTTTCTTTACTGTGACAAGTGATAAAGTTTTCCGGATAACCATTAGCTAATAAAACTGAATGTATATTTCGAAACTCATCCATCAATGTGTCACTCGTGCATATTTTTAAGGCCCTTGAGAACAAACATTTCACTAGGGAACTTTTATACTGGATATGATCAAAACTGGTGAAATGAAGATACTGTCCACTCCATGTCTGTTTACGAAAAATAAATTGCTGAATCGTTCCATCATCTCTCCTGGTCATTGTAATATCCAGGAAACCGAGTTTGTTATTCGATTCTAGTTCGGAAAATACTCGGATATTTGGATGAATATGATTAAATAGGGTAATAAAGTTTTCAGTAAATTTACTATTATTACCAATAATGAGTGTATCAACTACATAACGTTTATACAGCATAAATTCTCCAAGCATACCTTGCATTTTTCTTTCCAATTTCGACATGAAAATATCTGCTAACAGGGGCCCAAGAGGGCTACCCATCGCAACACCATCGATTTGTTTGTATGCATTTTCTTGAAAGGTGAATCTTATATTTTCTGTACACATTAAGATGATGTCTCTGATGTAAGTTACAGGAATAGGCAAGTTTATTTCATTGCTTGTGATGTAATCGCAAAGGTAATCAACAGTTTCATTGAGGGGAACATTGGTGAATAAAGTTTAATTAATATAAAAAAGAAAAGGCGTTCAGCAAAGAGTTACTCTTTTCGGCGGTATCATTCTCAAGCTGTACAAACTGCAAATTTATAGTAATTCGTCTTGGCAACAAAAGGAATATTTTCAAGGATGTGTTAATGCAATTGTTAATTTTTGACAACAAATTACGTAATTTAGAAGGCGTTAATCGGTTAGAAACTAAAATAAAGTTACAAAAGTAGGTTGGGTGACGTAATCTAATTGCTAGGGTTCAATGGAAAATGAATCAGAGTCAAGTTAATAATCTGAGTAGAATTCACTTGAAAATGAATGAGAGTTGGGTTAATAAGCTGAGTAGAATTCACTTGAAAATAAATAAGAGCTAAGTTGATAAACTGAGTAGAATCGTCGAATATGGCCTGTTTTACATGGTTCTGAATATGACGGGATTATTGACCTAATAAAGTTAGAGTTTGTTATGAAAAAAGGGACAGCTGAATGGTGTAATTATTTAATATTTTCAGATGACTGATGTATCATTGGGTCACATGGCTAGATCTCTGTTGACGTTGTCGACAATGTGTATGAATGCTTTTACGATCGATATTTTAAGAGGTTAACAGGATATTAATTGGGTGTCTAACACAGTAGAATTCATGATGCGCAATTCATCCTATTTGGAATTCATCAGCTGTACGTCCTTGTGTTCCAAGCAAGTGACAGCATTCCTGAGTAAAATCATGTTTAATTTCAAGGTATTGCCGAAGTGTCCATTCTAAGAGCCGACATGTTAACAGAGACGGAGATTTTCAGTTTAATGGAAATCACATTAAACAGGAAACTCAAAAATTAATTGAAACAAATAACTGCTATTCGTTGCACAAACGATAGATCAGTAGGCCAATGGATAAGGTTATGGCATTTGGAACAATATCACTGGGAATACCATTCCTGACTGTAGGTGTATCTTTGGGGGGTGCTACTGACTAGATTTATAAATAGTATAAAGATACATATATCAATATGTATATCATCATCTGCGAGAATGTCGAATAGTTGAGAGATAGGTTCACTGATGTAGAGAAGAAATGAACGATTCTTGTGAAGTAACATAGAAAACATAAAAGGAAAACAACGAAGCAGAATATAGAAGACATGTGCAAATTGTGACTTTAAAGTATATGTTAGATGTATTTTGCCTATATTTGTATATTGAGCTGACAATAATTAATTCTGTTGACAAATACTTTCGTGTCCCGCCGTTGCAGAGGTACATCTAACTGACGAAATCAGCATCCTGGATTCCCATGTTAGCTACCATCAAGCAAGTAAGGCCCAGCTGTTGATAGAGACGTTTAAATTCCCAGGTGTAAAATGACCTGGCTTTTTGTTGAGTCAAGATGTAGAGACAGAAGACAAGGGCCAGACAATAGATAGTTTATTGAAGAAATCAAGAGATATTTATGTACATTATTATTCGTTATTACTAGCAGAAAAACAGCGTCTTCTGATTGGTTGTTCTATCACTGAAGGTTATTCTGTCATCTCGTTGTGGCCATTTCTTTGAAGGTCAGACCATATATCTGCGAATCGTATCCACCCACGCAAAGTCTGCTGTGATTGGTTGTTGAGTTAGTCTTTGTTCTTGTTTTTTTTTCTCATGACCAAGATTTAGGACGTAAACATTGACGTTAATTGCTGTCTACCAATGTTGGCTAGCAGACAGCTCTCACCATAAAGGGACTTCTTGCAAGGCTGATTAGACAGCCCAGTCATCTCAATTAATAAATCGGTTTATTCATTCAGGAAGTTATGCCGAAAACTGAATATCATTAATATATAGCCATTCATATACTTTTTACTTTATTGAATGGATCTACCATTCGGTATTTGTCATAGTAATGAAATAAAGAGCATACATTCTATCCTATGTAGAATGTGAGAGTTGGATATACCCACATCTAAGAAAAATATACATAAATTATGGCATGAAATCAATGGAGGTTTCTACTGTGCTGTCGTGCATTAATGACATTTCAAGTAACCCATGGTGACTCATCGATTTTCAAGTGTTAGATTACAAGGATTTGATTGATTACAAGTCAGTTAACGAACTGACTATCGCTGAGAGATGTAGTGAAAGCCACAGAGTGATGCACAGCTATTTTCTTCCGCTTTGAGACTCTCTAAAGCTGAAGTAAAAGGCCGGCAACTCTAAACAATAGGAACCCAAACAGAAACGACTTACGAACGCACAAAGACCTTGTTATGGACAAATTCGACCAATCAGGAGGCTTAAAAAGACGGCGCATAATTGTAAAAAATCGTTTATATAAAAGTAAAGCAATGTTAAAACATAGTTACAAAGGATAAAGTATTTGTATATGTTGCAAAAAAAGCTCCCAGTTTCTCATAGGAGTCTTTATACTCATGTTAAACCCACTTCTGTACATAAACTCTTCCTGATAACTGTATATCATTGGATTTCTTGATCCGTTCACGAATCTAATCCTTTTTTTCAGGTGACTCCAGAAACTTTCGATGCAATTAGTATGAGTTCCATCCAAAGGATTGCGAAAACCGTCTGTGTGATTGACTGCATGATGAATATGCCCGAGATTCGACAATTGACCATAACTACTCCATTCGTCTGTGTGAATAGTGGTCCCGGGCAGCACTAAGCGCTGGATAATAGGCAATAATACACCAGCAATGCGATTAGGAATCTCAGTAGAAGTGTAGAGCATCCATAATTACTTCTAGAGACAACAGAGTCACCTGATTGGTTTCTCAAGGTCGTTTATGCGTTCGTAGGTCGTTTCGGTATGGGTTCCTATTGTTTAGAGTTGCCCTCAGGCCGTACGAGGCGAGCGCATTAATCATTGACACACTGGGACACAATCCAATGGTCAAGTAAGTATATGTAACTGACTGACTGACTGCAGGATGGATTTCTTAGATTTTTGGCGAGAAGTCATGAACAGTGGAATCCGCAAAGTCGAGTTTGCGGAGAGATAATCGCCTGTGACAATGACTACTATTAGTGCTCAATATTCCGAATTGGCGGAATTGAGAATTCATGAGGCATTACTAATATCAATAATAATGATATTTTCTTAAAGTATTTCCACTCAAGCATTTTTTCACTGTTTGATAACTTTCAATTTAGATAGAATACATCCAACAGTATTTAAAGGATCGTGTTGTTTCATCGAAAAAGTTGAAACGAAGTGGATCTGGAGAAGATGATGATGATGGACTTACTTCAGATGATTCAATGAGTGACAGCAGGTTGGTAGATATCTTTGTTTTGACCTTTTATTAAAATTTAAAATAGGACATTTAGAAGACAAATTTCGCGAGATGATATCGTCATCTCGTAGTTGCTTTACAATCAATCGCTTCATAACTAACATAGTCTGCAATAACAGATTAGAATAAAATGCATGACAATTACTCAGTCATATAAAACAAAAGTACATACTAATGACCAACCAAATATAAATTGGTCAAGTAGTCAGTTCATGGTAGGCAAAGGAAGGTTGATATTTAATTGGTGGATGGTGACTAGCAGTGGAATCCATGATGCGCGTTTTGTCCTATTTGAGACTCGTCACGGGATGTGCCTGCACTCCTCAGTGCGTGATGATGTTCCCACCGAGGCCGCAACCCAGTGTCCATAGTTTCAAACGCCAAAGCGTTATCCATTAGACCACTTGGGCCACGAGAGCCACCTCTTGTGCAACGGGTAATATTAATTATTTAATTGAATTTTAGATTTTCCCGTCGATTGATTGGACAGAAGTGCTCGTTCTCAGGTTGACATGTCAGCTTCTTGAGCAGATGCTTCGACGATGTCTGGGCATGTAATTAGAATTTAATTTGTGGATGGTGACTAGCAAAGGAATACAGGATGCGCATTTCGTCTTATTTGGGACTCGTCAACTGGAAGTACCTGCATTTCTCGGTGAGTGATGATGTTTCCACCGAACCCTAACCCTGGATTCCACTGATAGTCACCATCCACCAATTAAATACTAATTAAATGCCCAGACATCGTCGAAGCATCTGCTCAAGAAGCCGACATGTCAACCTGAGACCGAGCACTTCGGTTCAATCAATCGACGGGAAAATCTAAAATTCAATTAAAGGAAGGTTAAAGTCTATTGTGTTTTGTACACATAGTTTAAGATGTATGTGATTAATCCCCAAAGTGCTTCCATCTCCTTCAATAACCTTGAATTAGAGTTGTGCGATGAAATATTCATTAATACTGATTTTGTGACCTGACATTAATAAGTGCTCTGCAATGGATGATGATGATGGGTTTCTACTCAGATTAATTGCATTGAAGTTTTCTGTGTGCCTTAATAACCATTTTGAAACAAATTCTTTTCGACCACGACATTAGGACATTCTATTGGTTCTACCTATATAAGTGTCATCGCAACTGCAGGTGAACTTGTAGATACAGTTTGAAGTAGAGTCTACAGAATTTCGTCCTTTAATCGTAGGTAAAGGGATCAAAAATGTTCGAGATGTGAGGGGAGGAGATGAGGCGTTTGATGGCTGACCGAAGTCTTTGAACTGTCAACCGGTTACCCCTGAATGGTAGGTGAATAAAGATAGCTTTCTTTGGTACAGAAGCTGCCTTTTCAAGATGTGGCCTATTCTTACTGTGACAATTGATAAAGTAAGTTTTCTGGATAACCATTAGCTAATAAAACTGAATGTATCTTTAATCCCATACATCCTAAACTATGTGTACAAAAAACACAATAGACTTCAACCTTCCTTTGCCTACCATGAACTGACTACTTGACCTATTTAAATATGATTGGTCATTAGCATAGTATGTCCTTTTGTTTTATATAACTGAGTAATTGTCATGCACTTTATTTTGCTCTATTATTGTTAACCATGTTAGTTGTGAAGCTATTGATTGTAAAGCAACTACGAGATGACGATATCATCTCGCGAAATTTGTCTTCTAAATGCCTTATTCAAATTTATCAAAGGGACGAATTGTTTTGACTGTTTTTTTACAGGTTTGCTTTATTTTGAAAGAATTCAAGAAAATTTGAGTGTTTTTAAATCTTGGAAAAATATTGATAGAATCAGTGTACGTAGTGTACATTTTCTTCTTTTTGACAGTTTCTAGTGGAGGAATTAGTTCTTATACATCTGAATGTATAAAGGTGGTATAGTGATGAATTGGCTTCTAAGCATGATGACGAAAACCCGAGTATTTTCTTCCAAACGTGAGAAACTGCTTAATGATTACCAAACTTCCGCAAGTAGTCAAACCCTATCAAAGCTTGGTTATATGTGTCATAGAATCTGTTGTACTTTTGAAAGATAATAACTTATCAGAAATAAAATAAGATCATCTCAACAATGCCGTCTGGTGGCCTTATAGTCCAAAAGTCTCTCAGATACAAAATACTCACTGTACAATAAGATTGATTGACCAGGCTCATTTTTTTCAGGTTACTTGAGAATCAATAAGAATATTAACAACAAGGTGGGAACAAAACTCTGTCTACAAATAAACAAACGAAAAAAACGTTAAGCCACTAGGACCCGATCCAATGGCCAGTTCATGAATTACAACTTCTGCCAGTTGACGACATAGTGCTACGACTAGTTAATGCCTTCGGCAAGTATTTGTATTCCCACCCTACCTGCTATACCCTACTGTTCACGACTTCCCACTAGAACCCCAGGTAACTACCTGTCTGAATAGGGCCAGTGGCTAGTGAGCATCTCATTGATATTCAAGTATTGGTTTGTAGGGATTTGATTGATTGGTTATAGGATTTCAACATGAGATGACATTGATTAGAGAACCACTGGAAAACCTGGGAGGACTGAACAGCTGTTTCATCCTAGTTTGGGAGTCTTCGGGTCCCAGTGGCTGATTGGTATAAGAGCTTGCCTTTTAACCGGTAGGTCCTTGGTTCAAACCCTGGTGCGTGCTTACTACTGAAAAGTCCCAAGCTAGGACGAAGGAAACAGCCATCTGGCAGTACTCCCTGCAGGTTTTCCAATGGTTCTATAACTGATATCAGCTTATGATGAAATCCTGTAACCAATCAATCAAATCCTTACAAACTAATACTTGAAGAAAACATGTTTCTCACAGTTATTCTATGATCAAGTAGTCTTTCCACCTCGAAATCTTGAGTTCACTCGAACAAATAAGCAGTTGTAAAACAACACGTTATTATCAGTAGTCTACCATCATATAAAAGCAAAGTGAAGCATTCCAAAATAGGAATCAATCAAAATACAAGCACAAATGATAAGGATTAATTCAGAAGAAAATACGTAAGTCTTAGATCAGTGGGGAAAGTGTAATTACAAAATTGGTCGAAAACTTCATTTACGGAGTTTACGAATTTCTTGTTCTACTACTCACTCAGTCTGAGCAGTTTAGCTGACTTTGATTTCAATTAAAATATAAGATAAACAGCTTACTCAACAGAAGACCAGTAATTCAGCGAAGAGTCTCTTTTCGGAGGCGAATTCATTTTCATAGCTGTACAATCGCAAATATATATGTGGTTGTTTTGTATGTGTGTGTACATTAAATTTGTCAAATGAAAATATAACTGGTAAGACGTCGTTTCAGAAATTTCATGCAACCGGTTCCCTTTATTAGTTTGAAGAGAGAAAGAACGAACATGTTTGCAGGATAATACGAGCTCGTTTTATTTCGTGGATTCTCATCAACTGCATACATCCTAAACAAAATCAAATTATAGGTTTCAAGAAAGTTGTGGAACATACTTTTTCATAAATACTTTGAGTTATAGATAGAAGGCATAAGGAACATAATTCCAGAATTTGATGTAGGTAGACATATTATTCGGTGTCAAAAAACAACTAATTATATATAGTGGAATTGGATAAGAGAGGTAAGAGTTCAGATTTCTATTGGAAAACAACACAGATTGGTTAGAGGCATATTACAGGGTCAGGGTCAGAGAACAACCATTGAGACCTATAATATCAATGGTGAAGTCACCATGCCATAAACTGGCCAGATGGTTGGCCCAAAAGCTGGAACCCATTCGAAAAAAGCTGGCAGCTCACAGTATCAAAGATTCCTTCCAGTTTTCACAAGAATTAGATCAACTCAATATTTCAGATAAACTTCTCGTGTCATACGACGTTTGTTCACTGTTTACCAGCATACCCATCGAAGAAACAGTAAAAATCATATGCCAGCAGTCCGAACTGCTCCCTCTTCCAGAAAATGAGCTACGCAAATTGTTATTTCTATGTACAAAGAATATTCAATTCCGATTCAACAATCAGCTGTACCGGCAGATTGACGGGGTGGCTATGGGTTCACCTCTGGGTCCTGTTCTTGCTGACATATTCATGGCTCATCTTGAACAGACTCAAATGAAAGAAGAAATAGAAAGAACCACCTATTACTGCAGATATGTCGACGACACGTTTGTGGTCTGCAATGATATAGAACACGCGTCCACAATGTTTGAGAAACTCAACGCGGCCCATCCCAACATCGCATTCACAATTGACTACGAAAGAAACAACCAGTTCCATTTCCTAGATGTCAACATAAAAAGAAGAAACGATGGGACAATTCAAAAATCTGTCTACAGGAAAGAAGCTTGGACTGGTCAATACCTGCATTATCATAGCTTTTGCCCAACCAGTTACAAACGATGTCTAGTAAAAACGCTCTTCAGCAGAGCCAAAGAAATATGTTCAGAAGACAAGATTGAAGAAGAACTTGAGATCATCGAAAAGAACCTTATCGAGAATGGATATCCTCGAAAGTTCATATTAAGATATAGAAATGAAGAAGTACACAAACCGAAACCCGACACCGTTGAAAAGAAACCAGTTTTCATCTGTCTAGCGTACAAAGGGGAAGACGTATCCACAAGAACACAAAAAAGAATCACAGGTGCATTGAAAAGAACGTTCCCAGCCGCCAGACTGATCCTACTTCACAACACTGTGTGCTCGTTAACCCAGTCAAAAGTAGATGAGTTCCCTACTCACGTCAACTCCAACTGCATTTACCAATTCACGTGCACCTGCGGTAGCAAGTACATAGGAAGGACTGAGAGCACAGCATCTACTAGATTTTCTGAGCACATTCCTAAGAGTCTCCATACAAAAGGAAGAAAAATGTTATCAAGTGCAATCGCCAGACATCTAATTGACACAGGACACACAGTAGAAATCAGCCAAGCCTTCAAAATAATCAATACACAAAGAAACCCACGGCTACTTCGCTTCGCAGAAGC